AAAAACATACACATGCACATAACAAAGCAAGAGAAGATACATTATTTTTACTCCCAATAAGCATTATGCTTTATGTCATCAACCTGAATAGAGTGCACACATACAACATAAAGAAAAGCAAATATGAAATCACACCACAAGGTAACACTTAAGTTTTCTCCCAAGTAGCGCATAGTTTATGTCCTCAGCCTGACACAGTCAAATCATTCCTAAAATTTTTCTACATGATCAAATTAACTTATTAGTAGTTCTTAGTCATTCTCTTAATATTCTAATCATCTCAAATACTTCCATGTATCATTCATTTTTTATCCCACTTTATCATTTCTTTGAATTGTACTTAACCTCTGACTCTCATTCTGCTTGTTCTACATGTCTTGCAACTTCTCTAATTTCAATCTACAACACCCTTTAGAGGGATAAATAAGTATAGGAATATGATTATAGATTTTAAAAATTAAATCTTGACCATAAACTCTAATAGTTATTTAGTTTTTTTGTAAGTTAATATTTGTTTTGCTAGTTACAAGAAATGATTTTCCAAAAAATAATTAGAATCTTTGTATCATCCTCCATATCTAATACAAGAAAATCTACTGAGAATATGACCTTATCTATCTTCAGAAGGACTCCTTTTATAACACAATTATAATAAGTTAAAGAATGGTCAACTACTTAATGGATTACAATTATAGGTTGAATCACTTAAACCTAGTCTCTTAAAGGGTGATAAAGACATGAGGTTGATACTAGCTCCAATGCCAAATAACGATTTTCAAAAATTTATCCCCCTCATCATGCATGGAATGGTAAAACTACTAAGATCTTTCAGCTTTTGGGGCAATTGTCTTTGGATAATAACACTGCACTCTTTACCTAGGGTTATGATATCAAATTCTCCTAGCTTGTGTTTTTAATTTAAAATAACTTTTACTAATTTAACATAGTTAGATGTATATTCAAGAGCTTCCAAAAATGGAATGTTAAAGGTATGATTCTTAAATAGTTCTAAAAATCTAGAGAATTGTTGGACAAATTTATGCTTTAGAAGTCTCTGAGGAAAAACTCTCTTGTTCCCATGTTCTCTTCTAGGTTACGAGGCTTTTTTTCTTAAGACTTAAAGTAGATTTTTCTTTAAGTCCATTAAACTATAGTTGTTCTTGTTTGTTGTAGTCCTCCTTAATAATTTTCTTTAGCTCCTTCCCACTCCTAAGTCCAATGACATTGCACTGCTCTACTTTTTGGTCTTTTGGATTCACCTTTGTGTTATTTGGTAATGTCCCTTAGGTTCTCTCACTCAAGAAGTTAGCTAATTGAATCACTTGATTTTCAATTTTTCTTATGGCTGCAACATGATTTGTAATTTTTTCCCCATATATAATATTATTTATTTTAAAGATAATTTGTTTTCTTTGAACTGAGTATTGGATGTAAATTTTGGCTGGCAGTTAGGTCTAGGATTCATTCGATTGATATTGCTATGGTTATTCTAATTACTTATTAGGTTGGGTTGGTTGCTACCTCACTAAATATCCCATGTTTTGATTATTGCTCCAACAAAAAATTGAGTGATTCCTCTATCCAATTTTATATATGTTAGAGTATGGGCTATTAGGTATGTTATTAATTGCATTCATAAACTCCATAGAAGCACTAAAATTTACTATTTTTTCATATATATCATCTTCTATTGTTAGTGAGCTTATTGTTGGATTTAAGCCTAAATGACTACATGTGAAGTTAGGATTGTTTAAACATCTATATCATGGACATCGGTCACCTTTCTGAGGTTAACTCTCTTAGAGGGTCATTGAAAATAATTCATATCCTTCTCTATAATTAGTGGTGGATAAACATCCTCAAATAGTTTGGACATAAGGGATCCCTCAGTTTCAACATCTATAATTGATCTTAACAATCTCATTAATCCATTGTAAAATGTTTGAAAGATAAGTCAATCAATTAGTGTTTGGTAAGGGCACTTCCTAAGTAATTCTTTGAATTTATCACAAGTTTCATAAATTGACACTCCATCTAACTATAATTCCTAAATTTTGGCAACTTTAGATGGAGGAAAATATTTTGCCAGGAATTTTTTAGTCAGGTTATTTCAATTGATAATCAACCTTTATGCTAAGGAGTTCAACCAAATCTTAAACATATCACTACGTGAGTAAAGAATTAGCTTTAATCTAAAGACATCATTGGAGACACTTTTATACCTGGAGATAGCACACAATAATAAAAAGTTGGTGAAGTATACGCTAGGTTACTCTACTGCCAATTCCCAAATTTGTTGTTCTGAACCATTTGGATGATGCCATGCTAAGTTTAAAACTTAGCGGCTTCTATGAATGGCTATTAATAATCAAGTTAGTTTTCTCTACTGATGGGTTGGCATACTCACCAAAGGGTCTGAACATTCTTCATGATGATTTGCCAGTATTAAATGTTTTTTTTTAGTTTTGTGATTTTTCATTTTTTTACTTTTTTTAAGTTGAAATATAAAAGATTTATAGTTCTGATTCTACACATGCGAAATTAGAAATGACAAGTGTGTGACCCTAAATTTTATGAAACACAAATATTCGCATGTGTGGCCCTAAATTTTGTAAAACACAAATATTCACACATATTTGTAGAAATATGATAAGGCATGAATATATACAAAATAATAGAAACCAATAAAATCAAACATTTTTTTATTTTCTAAAATAAATAATATCAATTAAAATATAATAAAAATATGACACGATAAGTTTCAAATAAAAACCCTAACAATTCAACTAAAATTCTTCTAGACATAGAGATTTAATGTTGTTCTTCGATAACGATGCTAAAAAATTGATACTCAAAGTGTTGTTAGGTATGTGACAATCACACAAGTAAACATGTCACCAAAGTAATATATGAATTTGAATTTGTGTATCAATCACATGATGAGCTTTTTAAAATTTTTAAATAAGAAAAGTTCTAATTTGTTAGCCCTAAGTCCAGCTTGAAAAGCTGAAGTTATGTTGAATTTTTAATTTGACTGAATCCTAATTTTGTAAAAGAAAATCCTAACTATGTTTCGAGAGAAAGGTTTCAAATATATTAATCAATCTCATTTAAATTGGACCTAAGAAATTTAGAACAATCCTCTAAACCCTAAATTAGGTGATAATCAGGAAAAAACTCTACACCTTAGCCTCCCCTAACTTCATAAGAAGCATTGTGATTTCATATTAGAATTAAGTTCCCTTAATCATGCAAAATTCCTAGTGTTTGTAAATTTTCAAAAAGGATTGCACTAATTTAGCAGCAATATTTCTATTCTAATTCACCTAAGTATGCTATCCTAATTATTTCACTAGCCTACTTTTGCAGTACTAGAAGAGAACTTATTTTAAATTTCTAAATGGCCAATTTATAAGTAAATTAAGCATATAAGGTTAACAAATCAAATATCAAATGAAAATTTTAAAGGTATACAAATTAATGGATCAAATCGTCATTTCCTATATCTTAATCCTTGGGAGAAATACACATTAGATATGATACATGTTGAATGAAAGTATGAAATCATTCATCAAAAATATAAAACAAAGTTTACACATAGTTTGGAACAAAAAAGTTGGAAGAATCCTTGCTCTACTCCACAGAGTTTCTCCCGCATACAACTTAATCATTTCCTCTCTATTAAACCAATGAATAGAAAAGAAAAACACTCTTGCAATATCTCTCGCTCCTCACTTCATCACTCAAGGTCTTGACGCATCCTGTCTTTCCCGATCTCTTCTCCTCTGCTCTCTGTCCATGAGTCTTTTTATTAGACAAATTTACATCATCCCCCTTGAAACAAAGCATCATGACTTGTAATCCTGTCCATACGAGCACGTGAGCACTATCCTAAACGTGCAAGGCAGGTTTAAATTGTTCAAAGACAACAGCACCAAAAACTAGATCCTGGACTCATTTTGCGTTCTGTTCATGCTCTGTGCCACGCCCCATCTTCTATCCTGGCTGCCCAGTGCTAAAATTATAATTTTGTTAGGCTTGGGCTGTTTTGACATTTACTAATATATAGTGCGCCATTAAGACTATAACTATTTGATTGATGAATATGATATTTATTAACTAATCATGCCACTTCAGTTAGCCTGATGAATATTAAATCGCAATTATAAGCTGCCGTTCCTGCCTGGGCATTGCTGAGCAGGAGAGCTGGCCCAGCCGATCAATGCATTCTCCTCTAAATACAACCCAGTTCATGTCTGAAATCCTCGTACGGACCTTAAAATATTTCCTGCATTGGACGGACTGGACTCCGTACGTCTGAATAATTAATAGAAAATTAAAGTGTCTAATATATTTTATTCTTGTGCTTTGTTAACAACGTATACGAAATTAATGATTTTTCCATTACTTTAAATCTTTTAAAAATGTTATTTTTCAAATGAAATAAACTTCAATGTCTGGTCAAGAGTTTTGATGCAAAATTGCATGAGGACTTCAATCACAATGCGTCATGTGTACGATCTGACTCCACAGAATAACAAAAACTAAATAGTTTAATATATGACGGGGCAGGATCATCACGTGGCATATTATGATTGGAGTCTTAATAATAATTTTTTCGAATCGAATAATTACTATTGTCATATGAATTTCGCATCTGATGTATGACGGGGCAGAATCATCACGTGGCACATTATGATTGAAATATTAATAATAATTTTTTTGAATCAAATAATTACTATTGTCATATGAATTTCGCATCTGATCAGTAACCTTAATGTCACGTTGTGTAATTTAATTAACCAGATGCCCAAAAACTAGGGAATCAGAAGCCTAATCTTCGCTGCCCAGGCCAGAACACCTATATAAACATAGCACATGCTCCCTGCAACTTAAACCAGCTCAACGAATAATAGAGGAAGAGGAACAGCAGATAACTGGAGAGGTAGAAGATGAAGCAAATGGGATACATGAGAAATCCCCATTTGTACTTGTCCGCCATGAGAGCTCTCCTCGGTCTGCTGTTCCTGGGTTGGTTAATGATATGGGCTGTCATGCCCACCAGGATTTACAGAGACAAATGGAGCTCCAAGCTCGAATCTGCAACCATCTCCACCTTCCTCGGAATGCAAGGTAATTTCAAAACCTTTTCTTTTGCAGGAATGGTGAAGAATGCAGTCCATGATTCAATGTCTTTATTATTAACTAATGGCTGCACGCAGGGACTTGGATTCTGATCATTACATTCCCCATCCTGTTCATTGCTGTCGTGGGCTGCCTTTATCTCCATTTAATGGAGAAAAATCGTTCAAGGTCTCAAATTTCTTACATAAATGAAAAGAATATTGTAGCAGAGCTCTGAAAATTTGAATTTTTATTACAGAGGAGGGTTTAGTGGAGGTGGAGGGTTAATCCGGCGGCTGAGAGCGTGGCGGAGGCCGGCAATGGTGAGAGGGCCGCTTGGGGTGATCACCGGAGTTGAGCTCGTCTTCTGCATCATGTTTATGATCCTGGTCATCTGGGCTTTGTACACGTACATAACAGGCGGTCTTTCAGACGTCAGCTCTAAGCTTGCTGCAGAGTATGGAGAGAAACTGTAAGAATGATCAGAAGAGATGAACTAATTAGTATCATTCTGTCATGTATTTATGAAATTGAGACTGATTGATTTCTTGTTGGCAGGTGGGAGGCGAAGCTGTATGATGTGGGCTTGCAGCTGGGATTGGCCGGAAATATGTGCGCGGCATTCC